AAAAGGGAGAGGGAGAGAGAAAGAGAAAAAAATACCAGACCCTTGCAATTACCGAAAATTACGTTACCTGGGGCATCGGAGGAAATTCAATAGCATGGCGTCGTTTTTCGTGCGAAAATCGGATCCGTGGTTCATATAAAGGCGGAAAAGGAAGAGAGGAAAGCAACAGGATATTCTGTTTCGCTACGTGGGAAAGCCGCCGTCTGATGGTGAGCCTAAAATGATTCTGAAGAAATTTAAGAACCCCTTCATTCTTGAAAAGAGACTCGAACGATTAAGATGACAAGCTCTGTTTCTCTCGTAGAAAGAGAAAAGAACATATAGCAGAAGTATTAAACGCAAGGGAATTGTTAATTGTATAAAATAATTGGTAATCATTCTACGAGAGTTCTAAAATGATAAAAAAGTAAATTTAATCATTGGTACAATTAATAAAAATATTTGCTAACGAAGTTTATGAAACACCCTGTATAATATGACTGTTGCCAACCCAGTTACACTTCACGAATAAAATCCCCATCGTTCGACATTGTTCGTCGCATATTAATCTAATTTCTGAAACAATCCACTGCAAAACGAGTCTAAAATGCTGTTCCATTTACGTCACTGTTCATCAGTTCAAAACTTGAATCACTTCGAAGCAAGAGACTCGAAGGGATCACGAAACGGTAGAACCATATACCCTTTAAACTTCTCTTCTCGAAACGCGTCTTAGGAAACTGAAGTTGTCCAGATAACGCTGCACTCAATCTTGTGTCAAATCGTCGAAGTTCCGGTCGAATTGCAAGCTTAAATGGCAAATCCTTTTCAGTCTCGGTCGGTAAAGGGGCTAAAAACTGCTTACGCGTTAATCTCGAGCCGCGCCATCCTTCCTATTCGTGTTCTGTCTAGCTTGTGACGACGCTGAAAGTTACAGCTTCGGGCTTCGCGCGAATTTCACTTTAAATTGATTGCAGTCCCATAATCTGGGTCTCGCAGTACCAGGAGATGCGCGTGAAGGGGAGCAAAGGCGATCAAGACGCGAGGAATATTGTTCCGGTCTGCCTGACGATGGCGGACACTGGCGCCACTGTCGCCTTCTTCCTGCTTCTCGTCCTGCTCTTTTATCTCGCACCATTGGTGATCCTGCTGATACTGTACGCGTTCATCGTCAGGCAGCTGATGCCAGATTCCAGTAACACCAGTGACACCTACCATGCTAGAGCGAAGAAACACGTGATCACGATGCTTTTGTCGGTGGTGATCAGCTTTTTCATCTGCTTGTCACCGTACAGGATTTTGATATTTTACATAGTGATCGCGCCAGCTGAACAGATCGCCTCCATCGATCGAGACACGTTTTTCGCGCTTCTTAACTTCAGCATGATTATGTTCTACTTGCACAGCGCCGCCGACCCGGTACTGTACAATTTAATGAGCAGCAAATTCAGAAGGGGATTCCTAGCACTGTGCAGAGGGAGAAGGTGCAGTGGTGGGGGGCTGAGGAGTAACACTACTGCGACCAGGAGAACGGATTCCAGCGAGCAGAAAGAGAACTTTGTGTGATGATGTTTTCCTTATGTGATCTAGATTGTGATGAGTATTGAATTTCTAATTCATGCTAATTGAGAAACAGTGATCTCATTAATAGTATTGTAACACAGCTGTTTATGCAGATTTCTTTAAACGAGCGGTGAATTTTAAAGGATGACTGATCGGTAAAACTGGTCGTATCACCCGATACAATTCTAGCGTACTTTTTATGCATATATTACCGACCGATGATAACTTTACACTAATGCGATTTAAAAATCACATTCCATGTTGTTATTTCAGTACATAAAATTGTTGTAATAGATTAATAATGATATTTTAAAAATAAAACACGAGACAAATATATCATATCGATCATATCGAGTATATCATCAAAGTAATATGTAAAATATTTCTAAAAAAAATTAAGAAAATCATTCGACTAATTAGAACATCATATACCGAGCAAGAACTTGCAAAGAAATCAACCAGTCACACAGATAAACGTCTGTTCACAGCCCCATACTACCGATGGTCGAGTACAAGGAAGAGAACAACACGGATGGTACGTACATTCCGACCTGTAACACGAAAGTGAAGACATACTGGGAGATGGGTTTCATTCTGTTCACGATAATTGTGTTCTTCGTGATACCACTGCTGATCCTGGTGGTTCTGTACACGGTGATAGCACGACATCTGATGACGAATCCAACGATCAGCCGTGGCTCATCGAATAACTTGCTCAAGTATCGCAAGCAGGTGATGCTGATGCTGGGAACAGTGGTTCTCTGCTTCTTTCTCTGTCTACTTCCGTTCAAGGCGCTCACACTGTGGATACTGGTGGTACCTCCCAAAGGGATTATCGATCTTGGAATAGAGAGCTACTTCACTCTACTCTACTTCTGCCGCGTGATGCTGTATCTGAACTCCGCCATTAACCCCATTCTCTACAATCTGATATCCACGAAGTTCAGGGAAGGTTTCCTCAGGCTGTGTGGTCTGGGTCCGAACAGGAGGAAAAAGAAGAAAACATCAGAGAAGACCGGTACTTATAACACTGGCTCGACAAACTGTAGCAGCAATCACTCAGATTTTTGGAGACGACACAGTAGCAACAAAAGCAGCAGCGTAAAGGTGCCGTGCAACAACGCAACCGTAGAGAAACAGATGAAAATGCCCCTTCAGACGACGGTTGTTAGTGGAAGTATCGTTAGGAAGAAACAGGAGAGTTACGTCTGAAGAGATAGATGCACTATAGAGATGATAATTTCTGAGACTGTGATCATTCGAACCATTCCATAATAGTGTATAGTACTGTTCGGTGTCGTTCGTACTCGTATGTAGATTGAGTTTCGTGTAATATTTCATTACTGAAAGTAGATCTGAAGAAAGTTGAAAGTCGATACTATAATCTGGTTTAAAATCAAATAACCCCTTGTGGCTATTAAGTATATATTTTTTTTTTGTGATTGTTCATTTTTGAAGATGTTTCTGTTATTTCTGGTGAAGTTCAATACCGATCTGCATAAGATTGTGAACGATACGTTTAGAGACAAGTTTTATCGTTGCATAGGATTTCAGAATCTGTGATTATTAATTGTGTAAACGTTTACCGTCTAAGTATTAGAACGAAGAGCAAGCAACTGTATTTATGGATGGGAAAATGATTGAACATAAGCTGTAGAGAGAATTTATTTAATTTCTAGCAATCAGAGAGATCTCAATTTATAGCTTTACCATTTGAAACATCGTTCGATTATTCTGATTTTGTTTCAACTCTTCAACGATCGTTGAAGAGTTCACTCGTAGATCGGTCTCGTAAACCTAACCTCTGCATCTTCGTGAATGTACAAAACAAGGTGTAAACTGTCTACAAGAATCTTGAGTTCCTATGCGCTTATCAACATTATAGCTGAACCAGGTGCTGTGTTTCATCGTTTGATATTAACCTCACGCGTAACGACGGCGGCTATTACAATAACTAGAGGTATGTTTTAAACATCTAGCCGTAGTTCTTTTCCATAAACTAGAAGTATTTGAAGTGGCGACGAAGCTAGTCTGCAAGCTTTAACTAGTTATTTATTTAATTACAGTCGTAACGGAACATGTACATCGATATTTTTGTTAATGCGATCGTGGATAATTATTAAAACTTTATAGCTCATGACGTGGCAATAAATAGCAGATTGATTTAATCGTACGTTAAATCATTCCAGTAGTCTTTAAACGTGTACAGCGTTTTCATTCAGTTTCTTAAATATGCGGGAACTTATAAATTCATTTTTGTCATAGAAAGCATATAACGATGTAAGAAATATTTAGAAATGTCGGACACATGAAATAAAATAAATAGAGAAAACTAAACTCTCATAGGAGGGGATTGTAACGAATAACGAGATATTAAATTAAAAACACAGTCGTGCACAAATTGTCTCGTGCAATGCGTATTCCATTCGTTCCTAATTAATTACAAAACGTTCGTTTACAAGTTACTGGTGCTCAGTTGTGCGAGATATCGACAAAATGACACTTTATTTTATTTATGCGACATGTGCGTTCCTGTAAATATTTTGTAAAATAAAATTAAAATAATATTAACAATACCAAACCCATTGGTTCTCGATTCGTACACTAAAGTACTTTCTTTTTTGGCAAATGCTACATTGCAATAATGCAAGACAAGTAATATTACAAGATACACTTTAAATTACATTTAACTAGTAACGGAACATCATAATTTATAGCCTAGTAATACAGCTGTCAATCTTACAATCTATCTAAATGTAACACTAAAAGGAAGATTCTTAAACGCATTTTCGACTGAACACTGTTCATCCCAAGGAACAAAATAACAAAATGCCGTCTGTCTAGCAGAATATTACTCTAGAGAATTAGACTTTCTGTAATCGTCTTTCACGAAAATTATATCGTGAGCTAGCCTATCACTTCTAACGACCATCGAGTACACGTAGTAACCCTTGGACTCCATAAAATCAGTCAGCTCCTTTTTGCCATTTTCAACATGCGAAAATTCCACCGAGAGCGTCTAAAATATTATCAAATGATTAATTGCAACTTTCCATCGATTAAAATGGCTTGCTATTGATTTACCTCTATGTTTATCCTATCAAACGGGATCGTTTTCAACACTTGAAGCTCGTGGCCCTCTATGTCGAGGCTGAAGTAGTTCACAGTGGTTACGTTGAGGGCGGTCATTAAATCTATGAATGGGAAACACTGTACAGAAATGTGAACACCGCTGTAAGCAACGTCAGGTGAATTCTGCAACAGGCTGTCAGAATCGTTTTCCTCGTGAAGACGTCCCACGTTATTCGCCATCAAGAAGGAATTCTGAAAATCGAACGATGTAAAATATATACGTATGAGGTACATATAATTCAGCGAAATTTAGGGTAATTCTATTTATCGCATAATTTTCTGTCACGACAAACTACGAACTTTCGTACCACCGAGGGATGTGGCTCAATGGCAAGACATGTGGGCGTAAGGTAAGCCTTTCTATTTTTATGCAACATCTTGCTAAAATTCAGAGGATCCGCTTCAACGAGAAGACCTGTCCAATCGAGAAATCGTTCCAGCACCAAGGTGTTACTTCTTGTTTCTCCGTCGTAAGCGCCACATTCCACAAAGAAACCATTTGTCTATGCAAACATCATAGATGGTACACTCTAATTCGTTAAATTCAATTTTCGAATTGTTGAAAAATAAATAAATGTCAAATTTGAAATATTTATCTCGCCGAATACGAAGGAAATAATACAACGTTGCAATATTACCTTATCTTTGAAAATATCTCGAATAATTTCAGCCTGACCCATTGACGGATCGTCGAGGTTTGGATTTTCGAGGTTATACGATTCGTTCGGATTATATTTCCAAAGTATCCAATGTTTGCGTATGTCGGCCATGTACCGCTCCCAATCTGCCGTATCCGATGGCGATAGTATTTTGTCATTGTACCATCTAACACCTGATAATAATTACATAAATTAGGCTTGATCATAGTCACGCGTAAATGTAGACAGACATTTAGAATTAAGTGTTCGAATGCGAGTGTGAGTGATGTGAATATTTAATGAAACGTTGCTCGTAATATCTCTTATTTAGTGTTCGTAACATGTAATATTAATAACGTAACTTCGTAACTGAATGACACAACATAAATGTAGGCCGCAACGTAGCTCAATTAAATTAGACGTTACAAGCAGTAAGAATGTTTTAAATAGCATGGTAAGGACACCTTTGAACCTCTACTAAAATACCGTAAAAGCTGTTTTCATTTACCTTTACAAAATCTGTTTGTTCGAATGAATATTCAAACGAAACAATATATACTCTTCTTTTCAAATTTGATTAGTAGGTTATATTTTTTAAACAACTGAAGTAATTGTCTAGTAACTAATATGATTATTACGTAAAGTCAATTTGCAATTACTTTCGTCCAGGCATTTAACAGGCACAATAATTACGTTTACGATTGCTTCTAATAACAGGTATCGATATGTAAGAACTTCGATAACAGGAACTTCGATTGTCTCACACCACTAATTGCAAGTAAATACATGAAGTTTCCTATCGTTAACAGAATATGAATGAATATTTCTTGTTTTATTTATTTATAGATTATTAACACGTAATATTATCACAGTCGTAAAGATAATTATAAAAAATCGATAAGAAAAAATTGCAAATTATTTTCTTCGACTAAAAAGTGTAAATCACAGATTACAAACAAACGTGAATCATAATATTTGTCATTTTGCGTGACACTGATATTACGAGTGCAAATTCAAACAAACCATTTCTCTTAGATGTACACTAGTATAATATGAAACCATAATAAAATTAGCATATCTCGATAGAAGTAACGATTCGTTACACGATCAACGACAGATAAACAAAAACTTTAGATGATGGATAACGTGTCTAATTAACATTTTAACAAAGAGATGATAGCTACATAAAACCATAAAAAAGGCGGCAACTTCATATCACACTAACATCAATCATGTGTAACATTGAAAGCTATAATGTCTTATCGAGGTATAAATAATAAATGATCGATACTGTAAACTCACCGTCGGTAAAGTTATACCACCTATTCAAAACTGTAACACAGCAATAAAGATAACGTTACTATGGTAGAATACGATAAGCTAGCTGTTTCCTTTTTCTAGTATTTGAACATCTGTAAGAATATGGTCATACCTTTCGATAACACTAATCTATTCCGTTTCTTGACAAATATAAAAGAGAAAAAAAAGATAACATACTTCAAGTGCAAAGTTTCTGAATGTTTTCCGATGACAATATTCTAACAGACATACAACGTCAAGAAATTCACATACCATCCTGATAAACTTTTTCCACGTACGAGTCCTGTTTCATCTGATCGATAGATAGATCAGACGCGTACATCGATTTTTGGATCAAAAGAATCGACACAATTCCCAATAGGATGATCGCTGCGTACCATTTCCGCCGCCAAACCGGCTTAACAACGTATACGTGAACACACTGACAACACGTCTCAACACTGGACATTTTTCAAATGGTCACGAGGTAGCAACAGGTTGGGGCTACCCTGCACGTGGTGGCCGAAGAGCGAGTGAAAGAAAGGTCGTGGCCGACAAAATTTGAACGTGGAACTGAACCACCACACCGTGGCTTCTCGATCGCTAACAACTTGTCGTGTCGATCAATCGATGGATATAGTATATTGTTCACAGATCAATCAAGATACTTTTAATATACTTCTATTCAATTTTTCTCTTTATCATATTTTAGTTCCCGGTTTTATTATTTCTTTTTTTTTGTAATTACACGTAGAAAATGTCATACCGAAGGATATCGATTCTTATCGTGATCGAAATCGATTTTTCATTATTTCAAACATGTTCCCGTTATAAACACACAGAGGTTATGATAACACACAAAAATAACACATTATGTATAACGAGATGTTAAGGCGACTTTCTTCACTGACACTTGTGCGTCATATACACACGCGCGCGCGAGCACATTTTTTAGTCAGGTAAGTATTGTCATGAACGTGCGAGAGAAATGAAACGACGAATGAGAATGGCGGAACTGCAAACGCCGCATGTGGTCTGAATTGAGGAAGACGCTGAACACGGGATAATTTTACACTCGATAGATCGTCGGAAATATTACATTCCGTGTGCGTCCTTGAACTAAATAAAACACTAAATCATGCTTAAATTTAAACTTAATGGTATTGCAAAAGTTACGCGGTCACGTGTTTATACTAAATCGTCCGTGTTAGCCTTACGCTTGTTCTAATCTGCCAGAAAGTAGTGACTGACGAAAAGGTGAGCAATGAATACTCGTTTGATAACGTTTCAGAAGTGAATATCGGTGGAACGCAATCAAAGTAAACACTCTCTGATGATACAGATGTACAAACATGCAAAGCGTAATAGTGTACGTAAGATATAGCATGAGAGTCCGTTCAATGTACGCAGCGTATCAATCGAGATAATATATACGAAAGATGTATACATAATATGAATACACAAGAATAGAGTGAAACGTTTTTATGAAATAGAACACTCGTATTAATAAATTCAATATTTCACTAACTTTGTTTAAAAAATTGAGAAAACAGCTGTATATTTTCGAACATAAGTATTATCTATAGAGCAAGCTGTTAATTATCATATGTAGGTATATATAGACATGATTGGTTTCCACTTTCGACTGTTGGTTAAATCAGGCATTAAAAAATGTATTTAGGAACTTTTTGTCATCCAAATAAATAGAACATATTATGAACCAAATGTAAAAGTAGCTAACTATGATAATTCAGCAAACTATAATTATAACGCTTACATGAAATGTTAAAAATTATTTTAAGAATAAATTAATATGTAATATAAAGCGAGCAATTTAATAAAAATAGTAAATAGTTATGCAACATGCACTTAAATTCGGAAACAAAAATATTTAAAGAAACGAAAACTCCTTTCTCTACGAAAGCTTGAGAGCGAATGCTGGTTGGCGCTTGCCGCAAATTCTTATATACTCCAATCGAACCCGAATTTCATGTAACCGCGATGTAGAATAACCTCGTTCGAATAATCAATCTTTTTGAAATGAATGAAACTCTCGAATTATTCTATTTAACATCTGTTTGATATAGTAACATACATTTATTTGTTTAACAAAAAAACAAATCACATACAATCTTAACAGCACCTTTGAATAACGCACTGATTACATTAGGTTACGTACACGAACGTGCTGTACTTTCTTTCGAGTACTACTGAAACAGAAGAGATATATAACACGTTATATCAAATAAGTCAATAAAATGACGGAAGAAAATCACTGTATGTACTTTGTGAAACGAAAAAAACGTTATTGTCGTATGACTGTGAGAAAAGGAAACAGGTATTGTGGTGAACATCAAGAAGTTCCATTAGAATCATTTTCCTATAACAAAGAAGCTTCTGAAAATAAAAGGATAAAATGTCCTCTTGATCCTACACAGTAAGTCTATGTCTATTGTAATAGATATTTTATATTCCTTCATGTATATGAAATTTATAGATCGTTTCCAGTACATGTTATGAATCAAAATTGGCTAAACACTTAAAGGTGTGCAATGCAAAACGATTCATTGATGCACAACCATCATTTATAGTAAAAGGGATTAATGTGAAAGAAGTGTGTGATGCACCACGACATGTACCACTCTCTGAACTTAGTGAACTTGTAATAAGCACAGTCATAGACAAAGTAAAGACTGCTTATGGTTGGTAATTCTTATAGAATTTAAAAATTTTTATTTTAAACTTAAGTTTAAATTTAAATATTTTTTAATCTCATTTTTAGAAAAGTTACCAAAGTTTCCTAAAATATTACTGCAACATGAAGTACTTAAAGATAAAATACATGATAATTCCTGTGGAAAATCTATTAAGAAACATCTCTCACAGAATTCATCACTGCTATCACATTTAGAACTTGCAAATCTTGTAAAAGAAAATACATGCTTTATTGAATTTGGAGCAGGAAAGGGTAAACTGACTTATTGGTTAGGACAAATAATAAAAGATAAGAAAAATTGTGGTATTCTATTAATAGATCGTTCAAGTCATAGACATAAAAGTGATAATAAATTGAAAAGTGAACAATTCCTTCTTGTAATAGAAAGAGTACGTGTTGATATTGCTGATTTGAAATTAAATAATATGACAGTGATTCAAAAGTTTGAACATAAAGTTGCTATTGCAAAACATTTATGTGGAGCAGCAACAGGTATACATTTTCCTTAACTTATTCTGATTGCAATAAAAATTACATGATATTTGTATTAGAAATACTGCAAAATATGTTATTTTGTAGATTTAACTTTAAACTGCTTGATTCAAGCAATGCAAAATGAACCTAAATGCAATATTTCTGGATTAGTAATTGCTTTTTGTTGCCATCATAAGTGTGATTATGCATCATACGTTGGAAAACAATTCTTAAAACAATGTGGGTTTACATCTAATGAATTTACAGTGTTATGTAGTATTGCTAGCTGGGCCACTTGTGGATCTGGTTTAAATGAATCAAAAAAAATTTTAAATACTCAGAATAATTCTAATGATACAAGGTAGTACCTAATCTATGTAATCTCTCACTTTATTGATATTTTTTACTCATTGCATTTCAAGTGTTAGATACATAAATTTATGTTTTAGAATAAATATAAAAAATTTAACTTCAAGCGAAAGGGAAAAAATCGGCCGCAAAGTGAAATTGTTGTTGAATTGGGGACGATTGGAATATCTGAAAAATGTAGGATTCCAAAGCAACTTAGTTTATTACACCACTACCGATATATCTTTAGAAAACATGTGTATAGTAGCTACAAAAAGTTAAATATAGAAATTTATAAACATTATTCAATAAATTATTTCTGCAATAAAAACAATCAACCCTTTTGAATCTAATCTCAAGAGTTAAGATGCGTTTAGTTTAAAAATGTGACTGCGTCTTTCTGTCGCTACATGTGAACGGTGCGCAAAGCATTCATTTCTCTTACTATATACAACGCCCCGCCCAAATACAACTTGGTGTAACAGATTCTAATGGATTGAGTGATGCGTGTATTTGAGATGACTACGTTGTGACATTAATGCCACTAATATTCAATAATATACGGTATTAGATATCAAGAATTTCGTTAACAATCGATATAAGAAGGCGAAGGAGAAAACGAACTACCTGACGGTACGTATTATATTACATTAACATGTTAACTTCGTTTACTCAATTGAGATTTCTTAAATTCTTCTTTTACGAGTTCATTTTACAATTTGTTGAGAATGCACAAGAGGTATTTTGTTAGTAAAATCATTGGCTCAGATACATATTTTTAATAAACAAGCAATTTAAAAGTAACCCTAATTGCGTACTGTTGACCTCACGCCACGCCTTCAGTTTCCTAAACACAGATGACGCGAGATTTGCATCTCCGAGAAATTCAATTTTTTATAACAAACGAATAAGATATTATCCGTTTTTTAAATCATTTAATATATGTATAGTACTTAATTTGCTGATGAACAAATGAAGTGTATTCAATTAAAAAAATTTACTTTTCCTCTCTTCAGTCAATTTTTGAATTAATTATATTGTTAAAACTGTCGATTGTACACTGAAGGGAAAACTATCTGTTTTTTTTTCAGAAAAATCTCAGTCTAAAATTTATGAAATGTCCATTCTAGACGAAAGAGAGGATTATCTGAAGAATCCATTCCTTGGGAAACCAGAATATGGTGATTTTACTCCATTTTATGTCACTGTCACTATCTGCTCTCTGATATTTACATTCCTGTGCCTTTTAAATATTGGATTTTGTTGGTGCTCCCGTCATAGAAGTTATTGGCAAAGTCCTCATACTGGTAAGACCTATCTGCTTTTTCCTCTAAACATATCTTTTACATTAATTTTAAGTTAATGTTATAATTTTAAACTACTTCTATTTAATTAGGAAATAGGTGGATTCAGCCTTTGTGGACAGTATTACCACATAAAACACCACCTCTGGACTTGAGTGAATTAGAGCCAGGACGTGTCTTTGAGTCAGAAGAGAAACAAGAAGTTTTACAGTATCATAATCCCAAATCATATAGGACCTCACCACAATCACAAGAATATATGGAAATGCAAAAACGTGAGAGCGAAATTTAATCGGAAATCTTGATATTATTACGCACATAAACAATTATACAAGCTCTAAAAAGTATTAGTATTGAAGTAAGAACATCACAACTGTTCCATGATCATATAAACTAATATATTGTGTAGCCAAAGTTGAGAAATAGCAAGTGTACAGAGTACACAGGATAAGACTATACAACTTTAAAAGTAAATTAAGTAGAAATTTACGCCAAAATGGGACTGCATATATTTTGGCCCGCCACCACTTGTTTAACCCTTTTTGTCGTTTGCATTATAATAGTCTTATTAAAATATGGTTCGCGCATTTGTAAGCTGCGGCACACACCGTTGCCGTCAGACCAGGAATGGGAAGAAAAAGCCTATTCACGAAAGCTTTCAGTCTCTATGGCGTAAAACTATGTAGATATTACCATATGTTTTCACATGACATTAGATCTGATTCACATTAGCTAAAAATTTGGACCATATCAAAACTTATCTTAACGTCCAGGAACATGTTTATCTTCAGAAGCGACACTTTAGACAGAGAAATTATTTTTTACGAGTATTTTCTGAAAAATTTGCTTGAACGTATTATCGTATGTAGTTATGTGCTTTAAGAACTAATTCCACGTGTCTTTTATACGTTACCTTTTGTACGTAGTTTAAGTAATTTTAACAATTATCCGTCCATTTATATGTATAACTGAAATTGTTATACAAATTTTAAAGCCAGTTTATGTCACGAAAATTTACGATTTATTCTGCTCCATGAAGCGATTTTTGAAAATATTAAATGTGCCAATAAATTCGTTTACATCTAAGCAATAATTTGTAAAGTTTACAAGTTGAATTCAAATATGTTTCGTGACATAAAATGAGAAGAAAAAGTATTTATAAAAGGAGACTGTTTGACTGTATCAAAAAACAAAGATCTATGTCCCTCCAATTTTTAAAACTTAATGTTTACTATGTAATAGCAATTCTATCATTATCTAAGCACTTTTATAAACTGTTTTATGTTTTTCATATAAATAAAAAATGGTTCTCTTTACACAATAGCTATGTCCTTAGATAATAGATGTGTCTTTTTGCGTTTTGTATAAATTAAAATCATTTAAAATCGATCTACATTTTACATATAATATTTAGTTTTTATTGACAACATTGGATTTTTATTACATGTGTAACGGTTACACAATTTTTTAATAAGTAAGTAGATACATTATACAATTTTCTTGCGTTCAGTTATAACGTCAGTTTGTAAATAAATCACTGACGATGATTTCCCACGAGCTACGAGATATTTGATTTAGGAAATGTGAATTTGATTCGATTGCCTAGGCAACTAAAACCTGAACTTCCTATTGAAGACATTTTTTCCCCTCGTAAACAACTAATATAACCTCGCGTTCTTTCTTCTTTTTGATCTGATGCAAAATTCATTAACCATAACTATATCGAAAGACGCCGAACAGAATATTTTTCCCCGTCTATGATTTGATCTCGAATTCGCTAAAGAGTTTAACCTATCAACATGAATACGTAATGTTTAAAAAACTTTAAATGGCATAATCGAACGATTGATAACACCCTTGGAAAGACTTTTGATTATGTTGCAAGTACAATGATGGATCGAAATTTGAAAAAGCAAATAACGCTTCTCCCGCCATGATGCTTCCACTCGCGTTTAAAGAGAACGATTTAACCTCTAATCATTAGCGTACCTTCTATCGTTATTATGCTATGTTACAATGCTTTTAAAACACGGAGAACTTCCATCAAGTTCCACACAGAGAGAGGTCAAGCATGTTATTTAATTACGCTTTAGTAGACGTTTAATGATAGATAGAAGAAACCATAGAACGTAGATAATGCTATCTTACTCTATCGATAGATTCGTTTTTTTTTTTTCATTTTTTATGCATAATGATGATATGATGTACATATGTAGTCTAATCTACGATCATTGATACCGATCAACACCACTGATCCGTATATTGTGTGTTGCTGAATGTTTATCTCACCTTTTTTCTTTCTTTTTTTTTTTTTATACAGATACACCGTGTATACCCGGCATCATAACCTGAATTAGCTGACTTTGTTTTTGTCGAATTTTTTTTTTGCTTTTGTATATATCTAGACTTAAAAACAAATACAATCTTGTATTCGGGAGGGGGGAAAAAGGTTCGATTTCTATAGTTTCAATGGAACATCTCGTAGAGACGAGTTCTAATTAACCTAATTAGCACCCCAGACCTACGAGATGCCTGAGACGTTTGCATTACGTTAATTTGATTTTTATGCTCATTCGGCTTTCGTTATTATTAACTTTTCCATTCAGAGATAATACGAGACACATATAACGACTGTATATATCGACGTTTCATTTTATGCAAGGGTTACGTCTTGTCGAGAAGAATCATTAGTACATATTGGAGAAATGAGTAGTAATTATCAAATCGTGCTTAGTACGTAAAACACTGATTCCCAAACTTAAGGACGCGGCATTATTGAAACAATATTTTCATTATAAAACGTACAAGTATTTTCCAAATGGTTCAATTATAACGTTTGTCAGATATCTATTTTTTTTTTTTTTTTTTTTTTTTAAAGCCCAATTAAGTTTGTAGGTATCATTAAAACTTCGATTGAGCACTAATAAGAAGGGAAAACGTCCAAGAAGTTTGGAAACCATTGGATGTATAAGACATAGTTAACATCGAACACTGTATATTACCTATGCGACAATTGAGAGGATATAATCTCTATACACAAACATTGTACCTGATTTTAAGTGTAAATACCATTAATGAAAAAAAAACCAAACAGATAGTCAGCTTGAAACAATCCTACGCATAAGAGAGCGTGTGCGTTAAAAAAAATGCTAATGGATTCAATGAACTGAACGCCGCGTCATCGACGCCATTTTTTATCCTTTCAGTTAGAGGAAGACAAAGTTAATGGGCATCTCAAAAACATAGAGACCGTACGATCATCCATTCTTTCTTTCTTCGTTCCTTCTTTCCTTCAATCTTTCGACGTGTTTCGAAAGAAAGATAAAAACTACTTCTAATCAGGGATTTCTATGCACGCTACGATCGATAATCATGTAACGTTGGAAACTCGAATGGGCTCGTAACGATGTATGTATATTCTAGCAAGAATATATTTCGTAAAGAATCTCAACGGCAGTCGTTGTTTGATGACGTCGTTTCGTGTTGATTCTCACAACTAGAGATTTTTACCACAGCGTATTCCTATACAGTTATCATATCTCGGAAACATTTTATCGTCGATACAATAGCACAGTGCAGTAATATTTCTAACCTTATATAAAATATCGAAGAAAGTCATCATTTTAAAAACAACATCATTAAATTTACTTCAACAGTTGCATAAGTCACCAATTATATATACAGTTTATTAAATATTATTTCTTATTAAATTACTCCTCATACAACGACACGACAAATGAACGAAGAAGAAGGGAAAAATAATAACAAGAGATAATTGATGTTTAACGACTTCACTATGCCACTGCATCGAGGACACGGTTCGTAATATTCACACGTAAATTGGTACATAGCAATTTCAGAGTCAGCAAAACTGCTAAGGAGAACATTATCGGGTCCAGCTATGCGCTTATTACGTCCGCATCGCGACTAATGACATTTGGCCACATGTAATGGAAGTAATTCTGAAAACAGCCGACATATACGATCGATAATCATTACCGACCATCGAATACGTACCGACAGTAACGTTCGAAAACGTTTCGAAGTCAGATTCACGATCGTTGCGCCCGTGTATCGTACACGTTCTTTGTTACCCTCTTAAATAATATTCGACTTTAATATTTTTTTTTTTATTTGCAATCACTGTCAGTATTTTAAAATGCATTTCCTTCATCGTTCGTTTTTCGTTTGATACGCTCACGCTAGATAGTATTCATTTGAAAATTAGAGTTTCACATGGAAAAGACAAGATTGTGTTTTCGTTGCCTGTTGTCGAAACAGATCGCCGCGCACCTCTTCGAGTGATCGATCGATGATTCTCTCCGCTTACTGCTTACCCGATTTCTTGTTCGCTCGTTCCCCTGAAACAGTGAAAGCAAAAATTTTTAAATAAATATTTCACAATATTTATAGGCACTGTATTATATTAAATATCTACGCATAACTCTCAAATATACGTTCCGAATATGCTGAATTTTCTCGTTTTGTTAATTATCGACTGCCGATAATAAATTTATAAATTCTGTGTCTGAATTATCAATTATTACGCGACATAAATTTCAAACGACGGTTAACCAGTTTCCATTTATTATCTCACATTATTCGTTTTATGATTCAGAAAAGAAAATTTATTCTGGAAAGAAAGTTCATTGAGAAAAAAAAAGAGCAGTCATTATGTCGAACAGAACACGTTCTCCTTGGACGTGTGGTTCCCTCTATTCAAACGTTTATACGGAACATTTATTACCACTATTGTCCGTGACCGCATGGAGAAGTTTCAATAAGCTGTCTTCAACTCTGTCAATGCCATCGTCAAGCGTGCTCAACGAAGCGAGGTATCGTGACACCAGTGTCAATCTCGAGTACAGCCACACTATTGCAACAGACTATAGAAGCCTCGGAGAGACAATGGGGTTGTTGCGCGTCTTTCAATAAAATTTCGAAAAACTTCGTTTTTGCGTTACATCGTATATCGATGACAAACTACCTTCTTTTTTAGGCTGTCGTGGTTTTGTTCGAAAGTATCGTGTATCGGGTGTATATACACTTCAGTTATTTTAGAGAAGGGATAACGTTACGGATATAATCGATACTATATGTCTATGAGCTTGTTAGTAGCTTGTCAGCTAGTCACTATGTCGCATGAAACACCTGTTACGACTACTAGAGTCGATTAAAACTCTGATACTACTACTTGAGAATTAAATAGATATTTAATAAATTCAAAATTAATTACCATACACATCAAATTATTCTTTTTCTAACTTTTGGGGTAAAGATAAAGCAGACGTATTTAAGATAAATATAATTTTTCATAAATTCAATCAGGATTTCGTTTAATAATGGTAAATAATAGAAATACCTTTGGTGGATTTCTTGGTGTTGGTCTCTGGTTTACACCTCTTGTCCAATCGACGCGTCTTCTCACAGGAGGCATCACTGTTCGCCTTCAAATTGTCCACTCTCGTCATCAGCTGATTCACGCATCCGGTCCACGTGCCCTTTTCGTACCGGCAAGCTGATCCCCGCCGCGCAAGCATAATCACACCGACATAAACTCCATTACGTTCATTCACGATACAAGTTGAAGCGACAACGGTGCATATCTCGCGTTACAAAACGTCACGTTTATTGATTTCTTAATCAATTTTTCTCTGATTCGTTAACAATTCGTTGGAGCAGCGAACAAAAAACAATTTTCAACTAACAGAATGACCCAATTAATCCTCGTAAATAAATTGTACGTTTAAAGAATTAACCTAAAAATTTGATACACTGGGAATCGTTTATATTTATTCCGAGCCAGCTTTCCCGAAGCGTCGAAGCTCCGAAAAAACTCCACGGTAGCATAAATCCGAAATATCTGCACGGCCGTGGCTGCAAATTAGATTCTAAATGTCACGTTTAACTCGATTGAAAAGGCGCGGGGGAACGGCGCAGCGGCGTCCATTAGATCAAAAAGTTCCCCCGCTGGTTTGTGTACGTTGAACGTGTGACGGGTCTGCGTTTGATGGCGCTGCTCTAACGAGTTTTTAACCACGTCTTTTTTCTTCCCTCCCATTTCCCTCCTTTTTTCGATATACTTCACGGCTGCCCGCGAGTAGTTCGCCGCGAACGATTTCATCCCGGCTGAATCTGATTTCGAGGTTACGCAAAACTAACGTAACGCGGCAGCCATCTTTGTCACGTGTCCATCATGGCGAACATGCACCGTTGTTCCAAAATCATCGACATAAACTAGTATATAGAACGCGTTCTTTTTCAGTTCGTTCAATTAATTAAGACGTTTCACGGGATTCTCGCTAATTAGTCAAGACCATTAAGTCTCGTTTTAGCTAAAGAACTAGCTAATCTCACCGCCCCGTTAGATTAAACTGCGTATTAATTAGCGAAAGGATACGTCGCGGACTGTTTGCAATCAGCGGGAAACAAATGCAAACGCATTCAGATATTCTTGTCGTTTTTACGAGTTCGTCGAAAATGATCTTTCTTCTTAATTACGAGAATTCTTACAAGTCTCTAGAATTCATTAATATTAAGGAACAAGTGTTTTATAGCATTTAAACAGCTGATTTTTGTTGGAAGAAATATTTTGCGAGAATCCCTCTGACGGGTCAAGTGAATACTAACAATTAACTACTTTGATTTCTTTAACCACTCTAATTAAATTTTTGTTTCAAATTTTGAAAAAAAGTTTATTCAATTTTTAAAAAGTAAAGCGACTTATGGATCATCCAGTATATACGTTACTGTTCATTTTAAATTTCAAGCAGAAACGGAGAGAGCTAAAGATGGTAATGTATATAACAATTTATTATTATATTATAAACTATGAAAGTGTGAAAGTTTCTGTTGATCTTAATAAAGTTAGATTAAGTTAATTTAAGTATCAAATATGATCAAAACAAGGGGTTACCGAAAAGGGAAGCGTACAGTGAGTGTATTAAAACCTCGTACCTTTTTTGCACTTCTTCTGAATAGTTTTGGTTTGTTCACAGGACTTGTCGCCCTTCTTAAGGTTCAGCGTGCGGGACCGTGTGTTGGTTTTCGAGTCGCATTCCGACCATTGACCCTTCGCGTATCTGCACGACGAAGTGCTGCCGGATGCTGCGTCAACAGATGCAAAACGTCAATAGAGATAATTGGAGGCACGACCGATCAAGTGGACAGAGAAATTTCCGAACGGACTGGACGGCCCTTAATTACAGCTTAAGAGTTTAGCCTTTTCCCATCGACCGTTCCAATATGTTGCTCACAGTATACACACAATAACGCATGAATAATCGTTACTATGCATTCATAAAAAAAAATGTGATCGTTTAATGTACGAAATATTTTCATATAAATCTTTTTTCTATTTCAGCACACTGTTCCTTTCAATATTTGTGACTCAAGTATTGTGGAAACTTCAAGTACAGTCGGTGGAACAAATATAGCAAGCTATACTTAGGTGCCCTAAAATGTACAGCTGATGTACAGTATATAATTTGTGAATTAATATTTAAAATTTCTGTTCACAATCTTTCTCCTTTACCATTTTAATAACACGTACAATTTTACTCTGTCAGCTCTTTTTCTTTCTGCGGGTAATATAATATTGTTGAAGACGCCTGTCTCAAGCTCAAATAGTAAAAGCAGAGTGCATTAATTACACCAGCTTTTGTCAAACAGTGACAAAAAGGAAACTTTGTTGAAACGTGGTAAAGCTAAAATTAGTTAAAGAGTCGAGCCACGAGAAAGACTAAAAGAAATAAAATCCACAAAACCGTTTCAGCCACAAATTAACAGAGATGACCCCCATACACCACCCCCCTCAATCCTTATGTCTCGTCATCAAATAAAAAACTAGACTCAGAACACGATCCACAGTTTCCTCGACAATTTTTCTGGCATCGAATATCTCGGTGCGGTAGCGTGCATCCCCTAGAACAGGCAGAAACTGGAAGAGGAGATTCAACGGGGAGGAATGGGGGGGGGGGGAG